GGAGGCCGCTATGTCTTCTAACAGCATTGAATGTCTGACAGTGTCGAACGCCTTAGACAGGTGAAGCGCTACTAGAATCGCTATCTCACAGGGGCGGTTTCAGTTATCTGGGTATTTATGGCGTTAAGTGTTGTTGTTGTGCTGTCCACTTTATGGAACCCATGCTGATACCTCGCTGGGGTCAGGTGGTTTGCATAGTGCGGGAGTAGAAGGGCCTCTAGTGTCTTGGCTACCCGGGAAAGGAGAGTTATCGCGCGATACGACTCTCCTTTGTTGGTTGTTGTTGTTGTTGTAGCAGCATACAAGTTCCCCAAAGGGTTTTTGGGGAATGTTGCTGGACTGACAGTACTTGGCCAGATATAAATCTGGGTCGTTCCGGTTACGTAGACCCGACTGTCGGGAACGCGGTAGCTCCTTTGTTGGTTGTTGTTGTTGTTGTAGCAGCATACAAGTTCCCCATAGAGTTTTGGGGAGTGTTGCTGGAGTGACAGTCCTTGGCCAAATATAAATCTGGGTCGTTCCGGTTACGTAGACCCGACTGTCGTGGGAACGCTCCTTTGTTGGTCGTTTTCCCCGGTTTAAGCAGTGGGACCATCCGCCCCATTTTCCAGATGTCTGGTATGATGAGAGTGGCCATTGACAGGTTGAGGACCTTGGTTAAATAGTCCACTCCCACAGGATTCAAATTTTTCAGCATCAACATGCAAATTTTGTCGGATCCAACGGCTTTGGGGGCTTTCGCCTTACCGGTGGTTACCCTTACCTCACCGCTGGTGAAAACAAGAGGCGCACTAGGTGTTGGCAGTTTGTGCAGCCTTCTGGTCACTCGACATTTGGCTTTATCCACCGGAGGATACAGCTTGAACTGTCGGCTAAAATAGCTCGCGCATCGCTCCGGGTCCAACGAAACGTTGTCGCGAAAATTTATTTCAACTCTGTCGTCACGCTTCGTCGGGATCGTCATCATTTATGGTGCAGAATATCGAATCGTCCATCTGTTCTAGCAAAACGATTCCACTAATATTAAATATTTCGACCTCGACATTGCCTGACTGGATAGCTATGTTCTGGCAGTCTAGGATGGTATGCCTGCGGTGTCTTCCTAAATGATATAATACTGCACAATGTGGGCTAAGTTGAACAGCAGACATCCACCTTTATCTCACTCGCGAAATTTACGGAGCCCTTTATAGGCGGCGTTATTCAAAAGTGTGGAGTTATTGTACTTTTATATTAAGATCATGTCGTCTATCTGCTCGGCCGGCTGTCGTGGGAATGCTGACTTACTAATGGATGGTTATGAAATGCACTTCAACACTTGTTTTCTGCGACTCCCTCACATTTTTATCATAAAACCACTGGATTTTATTATTCACTCCAAAAACTCACCTGTCTCGAGTGCACATTTGGCTCTGGCACCAAACGCACCAGCGACATCATAAACTTCTCAAACATTTCATCATTACAATAGGGATTATTTGTATGCTCGGTGGCAATATCATCACTGGTATTAACGTCATAACCATTAAGCGTAGCAACCATAGCTTCTGAGATAGCTATATTCAAAGCAACGTCCTTTTGTGTTTTAACAATGGACAAAAACTTGTCCAAATTTCGTTGTGTAAAGAATTCGCCATCACCAATAGCCAAGTAGCCAAGACAACGTGCCGCATCTTCACGTACACGTGCGCGCACTGACACATTGCGCAGCAGAGTGTAGATGTCATGATATATTAAAAGCTTAGTGGAGGCTTTAGCAGCTGTCGAAAAATAAGTGTAAATGGGATGAAGTATGCACTAACTTATTAGAAAAATGCTTTACTTACTCTCATATTCAATGTCATCATCATCGTCGTTTTTATCGCTAGACACAGGTATAAGAATTTCGACCTCAACATTTGGTATTATAGCCATTTTGCCAATCATCGATATACACTTGACTGCGGCAGCTACTAGCAACCACTGTGATTCGTGCATCATTTTTACTGCGGAAAGAGTAATGAGTGTAAAACGTAAATAAATCCATTTGAAGAAATTGCACGCATTTACCTATAATTTTCACAGTGTTAACAAAAACTTCCCATTCATTTAGTTGTTTGCCGGCTGCAGTTTTAGATTTGAGTGCAAGCTTACGGCTGAAAGCGTGGCCCAAAACCAGCATCCATCCATGTTTATTTTCCAATGATTTTTGCGGCAAATCTTTGAGACATTCACTAATCTAAAAAGGAAATAACTTGCGTCAAATAACATTGAACTTTAATTTATTGTATTTCTTTATGTACCTGCGCATCGAAATCATCGTTTTTACAGCCATAGGCCAAGAGTATTCCATACACCTGCGCCACATGGATACGCATTGTCTCAGAGACATCTTTTAAGGAATTTGCCAAAGGAGTGAGCAAATGCATGTGAGATTCGGTGAGTAAATCGGGGGCAACATTTAATAAATCATACAGGCAGAGCAGATTCACCTCGGCTATAAAATAGAGCGTATGAAAACATTCATAAAAAACATGTGGCAATTTATGTTATTTGTTTAATAATATTTTTCCAATATGTATATATATTTCTTAACCCCATTTTCTGCCTCTTCCGTAAGTAACTCACTTCTTTTAGCTTCCACGCAGCGCTTTACAAACTGTACATACTGATGCAACTCATTTTGATCACTTTGCTCATAGTTTTCTGAAATGTATGCCTTCAATTTCGTTGCTGCCCTTTCATCACCCGGTGCTGAACGCGCACCAGCTGAGTACCAAAGGCAGAGGCGCAAATAATCCAGTATCTGTGTAAAAAAATTGCTGGTAAGCATTCCTGATACTTGCAATTCAAAATTTACCTCTTCATAGACGGTCAGACTAAATGCCAATTTTATATTACCAATTGTAACGCAACCGTAATTCTTGTTCAAACGCCTTTCAGCCATTTGGCTGACATGTTGCATGATGGATTTGAAACTGGGTAATACTATTGGACGGCGTTCAGCTGAAAGTTGGTTAAAGTTGTCTTTTGGTTTCTCCACGTATTCAACAGAATAAATCAAATTATAGTCTACATGATCCTTCTTTGAAACACCATACAAATATGTGGTGACAGTGTCATGTAAGTGATTGCTGTAAAGGAAAGCTATAATTGTTTGAAATGTGATGCAATTTCATACTCAACATACCGCTCGCCGGCAATTAAAAGCAATAACAGTCTTGCTGGTGCATAGTATTCCGGATAACAAGTGGTTAAAAAAACACTGGTAGCATTTTGTACGATTTGTTGTTTCGATTCAACATTGTCCGAAAGCATAGCCAATAGCAGGTGTTGTTGTCCACTCAATTGCACATTTTCTTCAAGATTTCCTTCTTCATCTGTTGCCGATTGTGACTTCCAAGTAAATGCGGGTGCCATGGCGACTAATGCATCACGTATGGATGACTGTATTTCCGCTGGTGAATTAGCCAAGTGATTGAAGAAAGCCAATACTACTTTTAAATCCTGGTTTACTACATCCGGACAGGTGCGTGATAGCTGTGCTAATGCCGATAGTGCTGCATTTTGTACATCAAATGGTTCCGTCGTCTCACGGCCACCCACTTTTATGAGGCCAGTGAGCAGCACTTTAGCTACTTTGGAAACAATGACAATAGGGCCGCTAGACAATGTAACAAGAAAATAAGAAAAGATATGTCAATCATTTTATTGTTATGTATATTAATAAATCATTACTAACTCTTTGATAAGGTTCTCTGCAAACTGTAAAGCCAAAACCTTGCATTTTTGATTCGTATTTTCGCCGAAGAGTCCTTCGAATATCACCTGTATACCCTTGGGCGTATTTATGCCCTTACCACGACATTTAATCAAATACTGAAGTAGTTTTTGTCGCACACGCGCACAACATGGTGTCGTCTTACGCTCAGCATCCTGAATATTATTGCCACAAAACAGAGTATAGAGTGGGGCAGTCACTTGTGGATCGGCAAAATCAATCGCGGTGCAAACTTTACTAAGCTCGGCTATGGCTGGCGTAGCTACGCTGAAGCGTGTATCCGACGACGCCAAAACTAGTAAAATAAATGATTCGACATCTTTGAAGAGTCCGGCGCATATTAGGCGCACTATGCCTTTTTTAATCTGGAAAATTACTCGTTAAAATTCAGTTTCTTTTTTAATTTTTCTTCACAAACCTTTTCCAACTCTTCGGCTTTCCAATTGCATGTTACGGCGCGTTTAAAGGAATACGGGCTCATGCCAGGCGGTACGTCTTGATCTTGGGTAACACCATAAGGCAGAAGCAAGACATCTTGTACCAGTTGTAAAAAGTTTTTACGTATAGCTGGCTTATCGTTCAACTTTAGAACCTCGTTTACACGCGCTGGGTCGTCTGGTAACTTTATGTCACCTAGTATCGGCAGCACGAGCATGAAAAGCCTAAGAAAAAGTAAATACGATTTTATGATGCAATTTGACAAAGTATTATATACGATAGATATACACACTTTAGAGCAATTATAATGTACTCCATCCCACACTTACTTATCTCGATAATTTTCCAGCTTCTCCTCGCTAGCCAACACCTTGGGCACCAGCGCACTTTGTTGTTCGATATTCAACCTTGGAAAGCCCATAGTAATGAAGATTATAGCGAAATTGAGCAAAAATGGGGAATTTCCAGAATTTGAGTATTGATCCAGCAAAGCTTCTACGGGTATTTGCACAAGTGGACGCGAAGTAACGCGTCTTTTAATATGCGTCAACACTTCAACTACCTACATATGTTGGTATAAAAAGTTAGAACACTTTCAAATTATATGTATGATAGGAGATTATTGCTTATAACCTTTGTTCGGACTGCATCGTGAGGCGAAGTAATCTTCAGTATTACCGGCGTTAGAAAACGTCCAACAATAGCCTCCAACTTATCATCGCTGTCGGCACAGCCCAAACGCAGGAGCACTCGTTCCAGTAATTCTGCAAAATAGCCAGGTAGATGAAATGATTATTCATTGAAAAGACTTTCCACTGGTGGTTGGTAAATTTATAAAATATTAAAAATTAAATGAAAATTACTTACCAATTTCTTCAGCTGGTGTTGATGACATTTTTTTTATTCTATGCTTTCTGTTAATTTTCTTTGTCAGGCTATAATATTTTTTGTTTTGTTTTTTTGTTTAGACCTTTCCTGCTGTTTCTACTAGGGATGCCAGCTCTCTCAAGGCGGATTCACATTTCTAAAAA